GAAGGCCGACCGACTTCATCATTGGTGTGTGCTGTATATACACTGTTCAGCAGTTATTCACGTGGATTCGGCAAGCAGTATACAACTGCAGGAGGACCCATATTCATTACAGTATATGTAATAGGGTATAATAGTGCTTGCTGCACCATGTCTTGTTAGAGTACCCCGTACTGTATATGCATTTGTTTACGAGAATCGAAGCTCATCACCGGGTATAATTAATACTGAAGCCAGCTATATATACATCCTCCAGCATGTACAGCTGTATATATAATACTAATCCTCATTGGGAATGAATAAGAAAGCCTTCTTTATTCTCGGGTCATCCTTTCATCGAGAGATACACACACACATGTAGGTATACATATACAGTACATGGTGTTTTGTTGTTGTTGGTGGTGGTGGTGTATACATGCATGTAGCATATACAGGAGCAGCAGAGTGGTGTGACAGAGGCATTTATACTCCTGTGTGTACGATGGCAGCAGCAGCAGCAGCAGCAGGGACGATGATGAGAGAGGCTTCGTTAGCTGCTGCTTGCTATGGGTGGGGTTCGTGCCCAAGAATAATGCCCGACCTCGGCTAAATCCCCGCATCGTCGCGTGAAATCCCCGCAATTAAACATTTCCCTTGTCGCCTTGTCTCTCTCTCTCTCTCTCTCTCTCTCCCTTTCTCTCTTACTCTCCTGCATGTATGCATGTATGTATGTGTCGTATACTGTACTGGATGTGTAAGCATGCATCCATCCATCCGTCTGACCCTTTCTTTATTTATTTGTCCATCTCTGCTGCTGATGCATGCCTGCATATATATTATATTCCTTTTTCATCCCTTATTATTTTTCAGTCTCTCTCTCTATCTCTTTCTTTGATTCATCATCATGTACCGTACCTTATATATTATGAAGAGGGATCATGATGATCATCCATTGTCATTATAGTTGAGCATGAATCAGAGCCCTTTTTCATCTCCTCCAAATCATTTGTATTTATATTTTTCTTCTTCTTCTCCGTCGTCGTCTGTTCCGTTTTTTGCCAAGATCAGCTTGAAAAGCCTATGATGGTGAGTAACGGGATTCCTGCTGTACAGCAGTACGAGTGAATAGTGCATAGAAAAGAAAAACGGGGAAGACACCGGCACATTGTATTATGCAATCACATTTCTTCATCGTATTTTTGGCGGGCGAAGGACATCGATCAGAAGTGCAGTACTCGTCCCTCCCTTATTGTCCGATACTTTTTGTAGCATTTGTCCCTTTCAATTGCAAACAGTCAAACGATGAGAAATGCATCGAACATGAAAGTAGACGAAAAAAAACAGAGATTAGGATTTTAATCCTCGACCAGATTAAAGACTCAACAAAGCTAGACACGAAATGTTGACCATATATACAGTAAAAATTCGCGAGGATGGATGCAGTTATTGTACTGTATGCGTAAACATCCAGAAAAGTTGTGCATGTGTCTATGCTCACAGCATGTGTATATATATACAGTATATATGATTGTGTTTGGAATCGGTCAAGTCAAGCAGTGTCCGTGTATATGCATGACGCCGAATGAAGTGAACGAAATACACGTTTATATGTAGTAATGATGCATTCAAGTACTAATAGTACACACAGTGTATGTATAGTTGTTGCTGGTTGGCCGCCGCGGTATTTAGCTGCATGGGTTGCCAGCTCGTGTTGACAGCACGCGTGTGGATCGAGTTTCCTGCTCATCAATAACGCCCGGAAACTGGAATCACATTCGTCAGCATTCCTCCACAACCGACAACACACTGCAGCATTAAGTAGTTTATAAAACTGTTAGCATGTGATGCTATACTGTATATAGCTATTGCTGCTACTGCTACTGATGCTATATACAGCTGAGATACATATGCACAGTATATTCACAACTTGATGTGCTGCGTGTGCATCAGTCTGATGCTGCATAACGTAAATGCCAATGCAGTATACTGCACAGTCAAGCACATGCAGTACTTATTGTGGGATGAGTATGGTACATGGTATGGGCAATATACGGTAATAAGGAGTGCAGAATCAAGCTCGATCGCAGAGAGAAAAGAGAGGACGAAGAAAGACACATGCCCAGCTCAGACAGATGGAGCTGGCGTTCATCTCGTTTCATTTTCGCACGTATATAGCTGTGTGTATGGATATGAACACCTTCTCCATCACCAATGTGTTTCTCCCCCCCCCTCTTTTCTTTTCTCCCGTCATCTTTACCTTTTCGCCCTGCCTTCACTTGTTGTCATTGCACGCTCGCGATAGTCCCGAAGTACAGTATTCGCGACACAGCATCGGTGTTCCTCTTCCGTTATACTGTACTTCCCATACCTTTTATTTATTTATTTAAAGTAATTTACTGCACCTACTGCATAAATGACTTATATGCACTGCACTGCAAAGGACTAAAGTACTGTATGTCCATCCCGTCCTTATTCAGATGATACAACTATCGAGTGATGAATATGAATGATTCAAGGACCTGAAGTATATTGAACTAATTATTTTTCTGAACACTGTATACAGTGCAGTCTACTACCTGACAAGTCATAATTCCAGGGTTGATTTTTCTTTTTTCAAATTAGTTCCTTTTCAACTTTGTGAGTGTGCCAGTACAGAAATGTACTGTATACTGCTGTCGTGCGTTAGTCCATATTTAAGATGGACTTGTATTTTGGGTATCTGTAATATCTACATAAGTACAGTCAAACCCTGTTAAACCGCCAACGTTTGTGCAGCAGAATTTTGGTGGTTTAACAGGGTTGGCAGTTTATTGAGGGAGGGTGCCCCTGTTGAAAAAAAAAAAAGTTCCAATGCCCACCCTTCTCCACCTGCCAGGTCATTCTTTGTTTCTTGGGAGCTCTCCCATTGTATACATATTACAACACAGCAAAACAAAAATTGTATGCTGAGTTTAAAGAGAAATGTTTACAAAGTCAGTTAGGATGGGTTACTGTACTTAAATTTGGATTATTTGGGGGCAGGTTAATTTAAATTGATTTGATTAATATAGGGAGGGGTGGATGAGTTTTCCATTTTTCCAATTTCTCTTGAATGAAACTCTGTACACAAATATTGAGGTGGAGGGGAGCATGGGGCAATGAAAGGCTGGAAGGAATTATTTTTGGCATACAAGTTGAGCACAAAGTCAATCTGTTCTGTCTCACCAGGAAATTCATAAAATGAAATTATATTTAAAATTTTCAACCACAATGTTTGAAACTCTGTACACAAATATTGAGTTGGAGGGGAGCATGGGGCAATGAAAGGCTGGAAGGAATTATTTTTGGCATACAAGTTGAGCACAAAGTCAATCTGTTCTGTCTCACCAGGAAATTCATAAAATGAAATTATATTTAAAAATTTCAACCACAATGTCACTTGTATTCTAAAATTTACAACTTTTTTTTATCTACAAATTTGTTCAATGAGTGCTCATTCCTGAATAATGAATTGTGATTTTTTTTCTGGCCATGCCAAAATGGATAAGATTCTAAAATTCAATTGCCTTGGACGGAGGAAAAGAACATTGGCGGTTTATTGGGGTAAAAAACAATGCAAATATCCAGTTTGTTCTTTAAAAAAAGTTGGCAGATGGCGGTTGGCGGTTTAACGGGGGTCTCCTTAGGCTTCACAATTAGGGAGATTTGTTTGGGAGGAAAAGTTGGTGGTAACAGAGGGTGGCGGTTTATTGGGGGGCGGTTTAACTGGGGTTGACTGTACATTCTTTCTTCCACCCCCAACAGTGAGCGGGATGTTGTTTAGACATCCCGTTTAGAGTATTTAAATTTATTTAGTAAGGACAACAAATAAATATCGACATCGTGACATGTATGAATTGAAAAATGACTAATGACATTATCCTTGCTTGATGCAAGCACAAGCCATGAAAATCTCTATTTGAACAAGAGAAATGCAAACATCATAGCAAAGCTGGAAACATATTTATACTCAGAAGTCTTGCAAAATACTTTCAACAATTGCTGAGTATCAATCTTATTTTCATTCCATTTTGAGTAATTCTCTCACAGTTTCTAACTTATTGAAAATTGCCTGTTTGTATACTAACTTGATGAGTGAAACCTTTAAACCTTAAAAATGCAAGTGTTTTTAAATTCATCATTGAAGGTTGCACATTCAGAGGAAAGTGGGAAATAAATTCAAAACTTGGAGACACAAAAACAGCTGCAGCATTGCCACTTTTTTTGAAGATCACTGTAAGAGGTATATTCTTGCAGGAATTCTTGCCACTGTGCATGATCTTCATACATATGTATTTTCGCATCAAAATAATGTTGCTAATTTCAGCTTACATTTAATTTTCCTCTCAAGATGAACATTTTTGACGCTTGAGCCAAATCTGGGCCTATTTGAATCACTGTACAGTAATTAATTTCCTCCTCAGTAATTTGGAAAAAACCTTATTCTCAGACACTTTCATTATACATTTTGACCTTGTTTTTTGTTTTTGTTTTTTATAGTCGAGATGAACTGTGCCAAATTGCATTCAACGGGAACGCATGCAAAATAATTTTTAAAAGTTTTCGATTTTTGGAATATGATGTGATTTATGTTTTCAGGAAGTTGATTTTTGAGCTAAATTTTGAAAATTATTTCACACAGTTTGCACATTTATTAAACACAGTACAGTACCTGTGTGAAATTTTCTAATCCTTTTTGAAAAGCATACAGATAATTTGGATAGATTTTCATGTGGTTTTTAAAATGGATTTTTCCATGATTATTTGGTTTTCTGGAACATGGTGTTTCAATAGTCTGAGACTTCAAAAATATTTGCAAATTTATAATTAGACTAAGGCGATTTTGAGTTTGGGAAGTTTAAAATGCATGGTTTTCAAGGGGATTCCCCGGGTATTCACTTTAAATATATTCCCATTATTTTTTGGAATGACTGATCAAGGTCCAACTGTGATTCTGATAATCAAAATCTGAGTCTTAGCATCAAAATCTTGAATATTTATACAATTTACCTGTAGGTGATCATGCCCCAGTTTTCCATGGCACCTGCTGAAAAATCCGTCAACGCCAGCATGTCCATCTTTGGCAAAGGGTAATCGATTTCAAAGTAATCCTCAAAAAATTTCAAAATTTTAGCGCCTTCATTTGCAGCGAACATGGTCCTGTCAATCATGTCCGACCTTGCCCAGACCTGAGAAAATTGCAGACACGTGTTTTCAAAAATTGTTTGATTTTCACAAATAAACCTCGAAAGACATTAGCAGACAAGATTTGTGCTAGAAATGCGAAACTTTTTTTTCATTTACGTGTGAAATTCCGACAATCAGCCTTCGAAGTTGAGAATTTATGCTTCACAACTTATTATTTATTTCATACAAAACTCTTGTTGCAGACGGATTTTGCATGCTGCATAAATTGAACTTAAATTCAATGCCAACAGTGTTGAAGGACGTTATACAAATCTTTATGCAGCACTGCTAGTTTTTGTTTGTTTCATTACCATCTCTCTGATTCCTGGAGTAAAATTGACTAGAAACTCTATTAAATGCGTATTTCACTCGGAATTTCTCACTCACTATTAACAACTGAGATTTTAAAAACCGTGCAACAACAATCAAAAATTAGCGACTCTTACAGAATAAGTTTCATAATTAAATTCGATTTTCATGGCGTTGTTTCGTGTGCTAAATTGAATTTGATTCTAAATGCTGCGTGTTGGTTTTATTGTTAATTACCTGTGAAGAAAAGGTCTGAAAAACAGAAGAAATCCGGCATTAGGGCTCATGAGCTGGTTTAATTTTTTTTTGCTGTTCATTTTTGGAAGTCTTGTAAAATTCATTTTTTACTTACCCATTAAGCTATAATTAGGAAACGATTATTATAATCATATCTTTATTTATAGGTATTGATAAAATTGGCAATTGAGATATACTAAAAATCGTGCGCAAAATATATAACAGCGTGTGATTGTCAATAAGAGAATTGGTTTTTCTAAGCTTGCAGCATTTTATGAGCGTGAATTACGGATTTTTAGTCTGATTTTCAATTTAAAATTCAATGTATCTCATTTTTAGAATTTTCTAAAGAACCCTCCAGGAAAACTATTTCCAACAGTTGACTGTCATCTTTTGTAATTTTGATCCAAGGTCGTGCGTTTTTTTTGTGTCAAGAATCCGTGACAATTTTTGTTTTATTAATCATCATCCAGAAAAAATAAAAAAACTTTATTGGCGAATGTCAATTGAAAATCAAAGCGATTAAATCCGGCGAGCGGGGGGGGGGGGCGGAAATTTATCAAGGAAATGCTTTAATGAGTGTAGGGGTAAAATATACCTCTGTTCCTAAGCCCAATTCCCATGAGATACTGAATTCCATTAATAAAACAAAAACAGGGAATCTCCAACGTGGTTTCACATAATAACAGTTCTGAATTTATAGTCACGTGTGAGATAATGAAACATAGATTCGCTCGTTCACCGATAAGAGAGGCTTGATTGCGCATTTTAAAAAATTAGGAAGAGTTTCTACTGATTTTTGAAAATAACCTCGGTATTGCAACCAAGCGTGATCCAGCAAATCAAATCTCGGATAGGAAACGTGCCTTGGACTATATTTTCAGTTTGCTTGTCAAGAAGTAAAATGGAAGATTGCGATGTCATGTTATGGGGGGCTCGAATATTTTTTTTCCTTGATCATTTTGGAGGGATGATATTTCGGAAATTTCATCAGCACATCAAGTTGATTTCACGCGATCTTCACGTGAAAGAACTGAATTTTTTGTGCTGATATACTGCTGTAATTGAAAGAATGAATCCCGTTTATAGCATCCCAAGTTGTGAATTATTAATGCACTGTATACAACGATGATATCTTATTCTTTCGAGAAATCAGAAAATTGCAGATTGATCTTGCGACGAAATTTTAATGACTAGACATTTTTTAATTGATTTTTATGATCGTAATTTTGATGTTCCTTTAAAATTACTCAATTTATTGTTCTTCGGCAAAAATGCCGCTTCTTATCTAAGCTGAATCGAATTTTTAAAACTCGCGATATCGTTCGTATATAGAGGGAGTTTAATTATACGAACATTTTTCATAAAGAATAATATTTTATTAATAAAATTTGCGTCGTCCGATTCATTTGTTACGCATAGGGACCCACCAATTTTTTCAATTTTAAAATTTCATTCATTTTTTCCGGAAGAAAGATAAAATTCTGAATTTCAAGGATAATTGGCAAAGAAAGTATTAAAAAAGTATGTCCACCTTGAATTTGTCGTTGGTGATGCTCGTTATGCTCTCAAACTGAGACACACAAAAGGCGACCAAGTATGTGGACATGTCGACACTGACTGCATACTTGTCCCATACGTATCCATTCAAAGTTTTACTGAAAGTAAAGGAAAAAGACGAGGATGTGAACAATCATTTTTTCATTGATCAAGTGTCTCAACTTTATAAAAAGTGGGTCTCCGCAACAACAACAAAATTACTTGCAGAACGGGTCTTATTGTAATACAGTAGATGCATTTTGATGCACAATAGAGGATTGTTTTCGAATTTTAATCAGGATATTCAATCCATTCAAGCCATGTGTAGTACCCAAGCAACACAGCTCCAGCATCTGGCTGAAACTGGACCAGAAAACTTGTTGAATTTCTGAGGCCAGTGAGCCTTGAAAAAATCCTATTTTTGTGAGACTCACTGAGCCTCACGCAAGGATAAGAAGTGATCATCACTTCTTTGATTTTCCTAAAATTGGCCAATCCTGAGCCAGGAAGAAATCACACCCAGTCCAAGCACCTGGGTATAAAAACCTTCATTCCTCTTTGAGAGGAGAAGTGAGAACCTAGTGTTGAAGGGCATTTTAACTTTAATTACGTCATTCAATATTCTGAGCTAACCATTGACTCTGCCATTACAACCATTGAATTAACAGCCAATTGATGAACTGGGCAATGAGAATGAACTCCTATGAAAAGAGTTTGAGTTCTTATTAAAAACTTGCATTCTGATGGCTGCACAATTCAATTCATTGGTCTGGGATCCAATGGACCCATGACACCATGTATTGTTCTTAAAAAGGTGAATAAGATGTAATTACACTCTAATACTTGTAGAAAACCCAAGCAGAATTTTTCCAAGAGAGCAGAAGTCGGAGACTACCTTGTTCTGGTGAACCATTTAAAAGTTTCATTTCTGCAAAACATTATTTCCAATACAAGGTATATTTTCATGTTGTGATCCATTTCAGAGAGATATTCTTTTCAAAAACTTAGAAATCAAATTTGTACAGCTCCCCACTTGGCTCATGAAGAAAACCAGAAGAATAATTTTCCAGTAAATAAACCAAAACTCTGAATTTCAATAAATTGTTTTAAAAATTGTGTTTTGTATGGTTTGAAGAACATGCTTTTTCCGAATTTTTCTATGAAATTTTTGAAATATACTCCAGACATATTGCTTTAAAATTGAAATAGAATGTAGAGCTTTGCTCTTAACTTACAAAAAAACCAGGAAAGAATTTAAAAAATGACTATATGAACATCTCAGATTATAACACAGTATTGTAAATTTAATTTTGAAAAATGTTGTAGTGCAAAACATAATTTCCCTCAAGTTATACTGTAATTTAAAATACTTCAATTCCTTCAATATTTTCTCAAAATTTTGTTCCAGTTCAAAATATAGTTGAAATCTCAGAATGGAGAAAACCAGAACAAGCTAGGCTTTTCCAAAGGACAATGCTGAACGTGACATTTTAATACATTCTAAGAGAACATTCAAAACATGTTGCATTGCAAAACATAATTTCCCTCAAGTTATACATTTGAAATGGTTCAATTCCTTCAGTATGAATTGTCTCAAAATTTTTAAAAATAAATCCCAGAGTTCAAGTCTTATCTTAAACAAAGCCAGAGCAGATCTTTTTCAACTGACAGAAAATCTAAATTCCTGGATAATTCAATTCCTTTGTCTGGGATCCAATGGACCCATGACACCATGTATTGTTTTTTAAAAGGTGAATAAAATGTAACTACACTCTAATGCTTGTAGAAAACCCAAGCAGAATTTTTAAAGGAGAACAAAACTCTGAGACTACCTTGTTCTGGTGAACCATTTAAAATTTTCATTTCTGCAAAACATTACTTCCAATACAAGGTATATTTTTATGTTGTGATCCATTTCAGAGAGATATTCTTTTCAAAAACTTAGAAATCAAATTTGTACAGCTCCCCACTTGGCTCACGAAGAAAACCAGAAGAATAATTTTCCAGTAAATAAACCAAAACTCTGAATTTCAATAAATTGCTTTTAAAATTGTGTTTTGTATGGTTTGTAGAACATGCTTTTTCCGAATTTTTCTATGAAATTTGTGAAATATATTCCAGACATATTGCTTTAAAATTGAAATAGAATGTGGAGCTTTGCTCTTAACTTACAAAAAAACCAGGAAAGGGCTTTTACAAATGACTATATGAACATCTCAGATTATAATACAGTATTGTAAATTGAATTTTGAAAAATGTTGTAGTGCAAAACATAATTTCCCTCGAATTATACTGTAATTTAAAATGCTTCAATGCCTTCAATATTTTCTCAAAATTTTGTTCCAGTTCAAAATATAGTTGAAATCTCAGAATGGAGAAAACCAGAACAAGCTAGGCTTTTCCAAAGGACAGTGCTGAACGTGACATTTTAATACATTCTAAGAGAACATTCAAAACATGTTGCATTGCAAAACATACTTTCCCTCAAGTTATACATTTAAAATGGTTCAATTCCTTCAGTATGAATTGTCTCAAAATTTTTAAAAATAAATCCCAGAGTTCAAGTCTTATCTTAAACAAAGCCAGAGCAGATCTTTTTCAACTGACAGAAAATCTAAATTCCTGGAAAAAAATTTAAAATGAAAAAATCATCTAAGAAATCCCACTCACTGAGGGACACCTTTGGCAATAGCATTCATGTTTGACAGGGTTGTCCAATTGTCTGTGTTCTTTCGTCCCAGTGTCACATTGAACTTGGCCTTCATGCCGGGTTCATCAAAGCAAGGAAAGGCTCTGCGTGCGTCAGTTGCCTCGAACTGTGTGACACCCATGTACCTGTAAGAAAGAGAAATAAATTGAAATTCAAATCAAGTTTAATTTTTCAAAAAATTAAAATGAAGTAGGATTTGCAAGAATGGAATACAGTGAAGCATTTGTGGTGGACTGAGGGGTGCACATATGAAATAGTAAATAAATAATCATCCCAGCAACCAGTCTCCAGTAAAACTGGTACTGGGGCTTGTGAAGAGTACAGAACCAAAGAACTTGCCCAGCACAAGAACCTTCAAAACTTGAATGACAATGCTGCACATGGTCTTCAATTTTGGTGTGAGTGGCCCATCAGAAAGCAGCAAAGAATATCCAAACCATCACCAAGAACAATAAGTTCAACATAACCCTTCCTCAATAATGCATAAAAGCCTCAAAAATTTGAAAAAAACACCACATTTTCCTCTGAAATTATTGAGTGTCCTGTCATATACGTAGAATACCTTGTTGGTTGTGCACCCCAAATGGGTCCCGCATTTCCATATACAGTCAACCCCCATCTAACGGACTTGATTTGTGCAAGGGACAAGTCTGTCAGACAAAAAGTCCTTTACACAAATTCAATTACATAAAAAATTTAAAATTTCAATTTCACTCACTGAGGGACACCTTTGGCAATAGCATTCATGTTTGACAGGGTTGTCCAATTGTCTGTGTTCTTTCGTCCCAGTGTCACATTGAACTTGGCCTTCATGCCGGGTTCATCAAAGCAAGGAAAGCCTCTGCGTGCGTCAGTTGCCTCAAACTGTGTGACACCCATGTACCTGTAAGAAAGAGAAATAAATTGAAATTCAAATCAAGTTTAATTTTTCAAAAAATTAAAATAAAGTAGGATTTGCAAGAATGGAATACAGTGAAGCATTTGTGGTGGACTGAGGGGTGCACATATGAAATAGTAAATAAATAATCATCGCAGCAACCAGTCTCCAGTAAAACTGGTACTGGGGCTTGTGAAGAGTACAGAACCAAATAACTTGCCCACAAGAACCTTCAAAACTTGAATGACAATGGTGCACATGGTCTTCAATTTGGGTGTGAGTGGCCCATCAGAAAGCAGCAAAGAATCCCAACCTTCACCAAGCATTACAAGTTTAACACAACCCTTCCTCAATAATGCATAAAAGCCTCAAAAATTGGAAAAAAACACCACATTGTCATCTGAAATTATTGAGTGTCCTGTCATATACGTAAAATACCTTGTTGGTTGTGCACCCCAGATGGGTCCCGCATTTCCATATACAGCGTTTACCGTATTTTCATCTTGCGTTCCAAAGATCCACTTTACTTTCTGTTTGTGGTTCATGACCAGTCATTCAACCGGTTGTTTCTCCAATTCTATAAAGGAGGTGCCCAAGCACTTCCTCGGTATTCATTGTCTGTCAAGAGTCTGTTGGAGCAGTTGTGGCTGTACAAAATATAACTAAACCTTTTGGTAAGAGAAGCTACTTTTCATTTCACAAACCCAGCTGGTAGACTTAATGCTTCTCATCAAAGTTTGTCTTAGTTGCAATCTGGATTAAGACAAAATCTTCTGCAAAGAGACGTCAATGCGGTTGGTTTAATCTTAGTTTACTTTTGGCAACATAGGATAACAACATTATCATTCAGAATCTCATCCTCATTCTCAGCTTCCAATGCTTGAACCAATCCTCTGAGAAATTTTATGAATTATTGGGTGTGAGTATTTCTCTTGAAAAAGATGCAGAGTTATCAATTCTTTTGGGACATTCCATAAATAAATATCATCTTCTTGGTGTCTCTGTATAAAGAGGCAACCTGCCAGGCCCAAACTGATTGCTAATATGTTTCACTCCTGAAATATCTTTGTTTGTGGATATCCCTAATAGCATATATTAGTTTCATTACAAGTGCACAACTTGATAACATTAATATCTAGAAATTACTGGACACCAACAGCAAGCCCCTACAAATAGAAAAAGTTCAATTCAAATTAAATTTTCTTTATAAAGTTTATAAATAGCATAAATGAAGGACAATCAGCAAGAATATAAGGGAATTAAGCATTTAGTATGTCCATTGCAATATCAGGATTTTGTAATATTAAAATGGCGGGATTGCCTTGGATGATCTGGAGGCAACCCTTAGAAAGAATGCCAGGTTGATTTCAAGAATTCTGAGGAGAAAGCTGGTCTACAACAACAACAAAAGCTGCAGGAAGGGCACCAAATCTTTTGAGTGGAGAGCAAAACTCTGCTAGGGTGAATTTTGCAAAACATTAAAACAAATTGTCAAAAAGGACTGATTTTTTTGGGACAGAGAATATGTTTTCCCTAAAGAATACATTTTTTCAGCTCAATTTTTTGACGTCTTTTGAATGATTACACGAACTTTTGTCAAGACCCTTGTTTATACATAATTTTATTTTTTTCTAATATTTATATGGAAAATAATATTTTACTGACCTGATGCTTCCCTGGTGTTCATACTTGCTCCTATAAAACCCAGCCAACTTGTCATTCAGCACAGCGTCAAACTTGCCAATCTCCAGCGAATATTGCATCCCGGGTCGCAAGTCCTCGCCCAGGTTCACAGTCATGAATTGCCTGGCCTTGTCGTACCCAATATCCGTCACTGGGACCCTAGCCCCAGTGTCGACATTCTCGACAATGATGGAGGACTCGTCGACGACGATTTCGAGCAAGTGCAGTGTCACATTGCGACCAGGTGAGGTGCAGCTCATGTAGACCTTGACGTAGCCGTCGATGCGCCAATCCTTGGCTTCTTCCACAAATGGCAGAAGACGGACGTCGTACACCAGGGGTTTCAGGTGGGTTGGGAGACGAACGTCCTTGAGCAGCTGCGGGGGTAATGCGGTAGATGGCGACACTGCAGAGAGACACACACACGTGAAATTTCAGATACTGTATGTGTACGCATGCAGCAGTTGGATCCTTCTCAGCACAGTGAAATTTGACTAAAGAACTTGAAGAAAATTGGACAGTTCGTTTCTTTTCAATACTCAACAGGTAACCTCCAATCAGATTAACAATTGCGCACAGTTTCAGATTAAAAACAAGATTTTGATCAGGTAAAATAAACAAAAAACCAAATGAGACAAAAATCTCTGTGGATGGTGTGATACCAAAGCTTATAACTAAAAAAATATCCATAAAAAATTGTTGCGCCTTGCAAAAGTTAGATCTTGATGTTCTCCTTTTTTGTCTTTGCATACAATTTGCTAAAATGCGCAGCAGTGCGCAACCTCTATATGCAGCATGAATGAAATAAAATAAAACAAATGAGGTTGTGCCTTCTTTTCCAAAGTATTCTTTGTTGTTGTGGGACATCCTGTGCTTGAAATAAAGACTCAAAATTGAGAAACTTTCAATTATTTTCATTCTTTGAGCCAGCTAAACAGAAGACTAAATTGAAGTAAAGAAACCTTCTACATTTATTTTCCAGAACAGGGAAGATAGGATGCTGCCAAGCTTAGGAGAATAAGTTGCCTGGAAACTATTTTTTGAAAGTTTTCATTCAAATGGTTCTTGTGACCATTTTGTTTCACTTGGGACCATAAAATTTTCCACCATTTGAAAGAAAATTGAACAAGCCTCCATTTTTTTTCATAGCCACAGCTCAATTTGCTACTGAGCTATTCCACATCAAAAATTGGTTCCTTTTTTTTTGCACAGCCTGTATACAAATACCCCCCTAACTTAGTGTCACAAAATGTCACATGATGGCACTGAACCAGGGTTTGACTACCGTAAATAATTTTCTGCACATTCAAAGTGTGCTTACTTGTGGTGGCGAGGGCAGAGTCGTCATTGTCACCGCCAACGGGGTCGGCAAAGTTGTAAACGAGTAGCCCGACGGCGACGGTGGCGCCTACGAAAAGCACCGCCAGTCCAACTGCAAACGGCTTCGAAATACGGATCTTCCCGTCGGCGTCGGTGCCGCAATGACCGCCGTTATTGCTCGTTCTTTTCGTCGTTTCCATGGCAAACAATTGACGACGAAACTCCGCGTCACTATTTATTTCTTTCTTAATTCCCACCGGAAAATCAAAAACCACGTAAATAAGAGAAAATGACAATAATTATTGTAATAGGAGAGTGGTCCCAGTTGGACACAGCTAAGACATTTTTCAGATTATGTGCGATTGGGAATACAAAATAATTTAGCATAGCCCATACATTTCGAAGGGTGTGGGATTACTTCTGGATTTTTAAAGAAATTTCCGCAGCATAAATACATTGGTCAATTTATTGCCAGGGCACCTTATTTTCTTATGCCCAGCATTCCACAGCTACAGATATATGAGCTTCATAAAAAATGTGGGAATCTTGAAATTTAATGAAGAAAGGCTCTTCACAAAAGTTTAGAGGCCCAAGATAAAATGTTAACTTTACATGATTTCTCAGCAAATATTCTCACCATTAGAGAAGGTAGACCCTTTATGCTACAAATACTTTTTTTAATTAGCCAAAGGGATGGGAAAATGATGGGAGAAATACCAAAAAATGTTCCTTGCAATGAAGCACAAAAAAGTCTATTTTCCTGAACTTTTTTGTCAATTTCATCATGCTATGTCCTCATTTTGAGTCAGTGTCCATACTTCAGGCCTTTTTATGCCTTTTTTTTTTTTAAATAATTGTCCCTAGGTCTAATTGTTTGCGTGTTGAGGTGTCTGCAAGTGAGGTTCTCACTGCATATTTTTTTAACAAAAAAAATTTTTAATTGAGAAAGAAGCACAGCCATATATGCCTAGAAGGGAGGTAGATAACAAAATTAAGGATCAAAGAAATGATCCTTCCTTTAAAAAATTCACTTTGTTGTAAAAAGAGGAATTAAAATTTTTTTAAACCTGTGTAAAACCTATATCCACTTGAAAAAAATGCTTTCAACCTTTATTTAAAATTTACTTTTATGCATTTTAAAGTCATAAGACCAAATGACAAAGGAAAAAGTGTAAATCTTTTCTGCAACTTGACTCATTCACAGTGTTTCATCTCTTTCTTTGCTAAAAAAAACTGTCGGAATTCTAAATTTTGTGAAATATTTTGACGGCTCTTCTCACAGAATCAAATGTTGAACGGTTATACAATTTGATTTGCTGATTTCAACTCTCGCAATAACTGAAGTGGAATATAAATAGAAAAGAAAACGAGAAATACTCTAAACTGCACAGCAGCGAGGATAAGTGAGGCGTTTTCTTCGCGTCGTTGCACGGAATTTTCGAAATCACGCGGATTTTATTACATACTTTTTTCAACGGTATAAAATTTTAACCACGCAACATTATTATTTTTTTTTTCGGGAGGCTTTGGGGTGGGGGTTGAACCTGAGAGAAGGTTGAGAAGTGCCGGCCAGAATGACGGCGGGGCTGTTGGTGAACAATTGTCGCGAGGAGCAACAGACCCGGAATGCGGTGGAGTCGCGGGGAGCAGCAGCAGAGGAGTCTGCTCGTGATGGGAAACTGATGCTCTTGTCCTTGCTCCTCATGCTCTTCTCCAGCTCTTGCTCCTGCTGTTGTTGCTTCGGCGGGGTGGTGGTGGTGGTGGTGGTGTGCCCACGTCCTTGCGTCATATTGCCGCTCCCTCAGTGTGTTTGTGTTTGTGGCACTATAGATCAGTAATTCCTTGCTTTCTGTGGCGTTTCTTCTTTGATGCTGATACAGCTGGTTTCTTCCCTTTTCTTCTGGTCTATTTCACCTACTGCTGTGGATAAATTTCTTAGTCAGTTGAGTTTGTGGCGATGGAGGGAATATGTATAGGGGCTCATGATGGGGTTTCTTCCCTGCACAGGTGGTTTACCATATTTCAATACAGGTGGACTCCCTCTCTCTCTCTCTCTACTACAAAGAAATTCAAGGGTCTCTTTGTTATGCTGCTCCCTGTGTGTGCATGTGTGTGTGTGTGGCACCAGAACAAGTCTTAATTCATTTATCTTTCTGTGGTTTTTTTTCTGTGATACAGGTATATTCCCCTTCCTTTCTTGCCTTCTTCACTTTCTGCTGTGTGCGAATTTTTTATTCAGCTGAGTTTAAGCTGAGAAAGGAAGTACAGGTGGACGCTCTCGACAAATCTTTTCCAGTTATAGTGTGAAATATAATATTATTGGAGATTTTGGAGACAGCAGCTCAGAAGGAAGATTCATGTGACAACATTTTTTTGAAAGTTTTCACCCAAATGGTTTTTCTGATCATCTGATGACACTTAGGAATGCAACAATGACAAAAGTTTGATAGAACATAGAACAAACTTCCATTTGTTGTTTTTTCCATTGCTGTAGCTCAATTTTTAATGGAGATATCCTGATTTGAAAATTGGTTCACTTTTTTTGGGCCATCACCCTGTACATCCATGTGGGTTTTAGAAGGGAAAAAATCCTGAGTTTTCTAATTTATCTTGCTTTTTGTTTGAATTCAATTGCCTAATGCATTGGCAAAATTCCAGCAATTTGTTTTGCTGTCAAGCATTTTTTGGCAGGGATTTATAAATTTTTTCTTGATTTCTCAAGGGAATTTTCTTGAATATGGGCACCAATTTTTGTTGAATGAATGAATGAATGAACAGAACACTTTATTTGCCACTTTTCCGCATTCACGAGGCACAACCAAGACTCCTGCATCCAAACCCCCTCCCCACCCAACCCAAATCCCCTTAAAGACATTCAATCACTTCAAAGCAGGAAACAAAGCACAAGTTGATGACAAAAATAAAAGAGAACACACTCCACAGAATAAAACTGGACATCTGACATGTATGCATACACCCACCCATTTCCTGACATTGAAAACAAAGTAGCACTGTAGCAGTAAAAGTGTATTTAAAGCACAAGGTCTTCAGCTTGCTTCTGTGTGAAGTTTAGTTGAATGAACAATTTAGAAAGATCTTAGATGGGAAATCATATAAGGCCAACAGTTTATCTTGATCCTTTATGATTTCAGAAAGTGTCTCTTCATTGAATTTCAGTACTTTTAAATCTCTCCTAAGCTGATTTCTATCCATGTTTTTCTTGTATTGTGAGTTTCCTTGTGGACAGGAAAAAAAAAAGAGTTTGATCCCCTTTGTTCATTTTTTTTCCGGCCCCACATGTATACTCGAATATCCATGGGTTCTCTATGCATCCCAACAGGTCGTGTATATATATATACAGTATATATAGTAATCGCATGTTGACTGGGTTCGTGACTGGTTCGATCTGGTTAATGACTCGAGATGAGCTACTGCCACCACTTGGTAATCCTTGCCATCGGAATGCCCTGTATTGTTGTTCCCCGTCCGAGTCGCTTATCACGATACATTTATCTCCAGCCAACCTTTGACATTAATTCTGGCTCCGGTTATTCTCGGGACGCGATTCCGAATGCAGATCCCCAGCAGACGGGTTTTATGATCACCGATAAAGGGAAGGAAAAGAGCTTTGGATGGATACAATCCAGTTTTTTATTTTTATTTTTTAAATAATATTTTTCAGTTTTTGTCATATCCAGATTTGTTGTACTGATTTAGTACAGGATCGACCCGAATAAGTTTTTTCTTTGGTGCCTAATTAAAAGCCGACCAGCAAAGGCGTGACCAACCTGGCAGCAAAATAATATTTTTAATATTATGATAATTTTGTCAAATCCAGATTTGTTGCATTGATATTTTACGTGAACAAACCCAAATACATTTTTTTCTTAATTAGCGACAAACCAGCAAAATTGTGACTAGCCTCGCATCAAAATAATGCTGCTCAATCTGACTGACTCCTGAAAAAAAATCACAGCAGAAATGTTTAATGTTTAAATTTTTTATGTTTGCAGTATTCAATCTAATATTACTTAACAGATGAAAAATCTGATTAAATCAAGTAAATCGAGCAAACCAAATGTTTTGTCAACCTTTTTTTCAAATCAATGGTGACGAAAAAGCAAGGTGGGCATCATTATGAAGTACATTAAATTTTGTGAAAAAACTTTGGTGCTGGTCATGCATAAATCAATTTGGGCTATTTATTTCATAAAAAAAAAAGTTGCCCTACTTTCAATTTTTGTTTTAAAATATTTCATCGTTCAAATGAAGCAAAAATGGAAACAATTTTCAAGTTGGGTTGAATCTAGATTTTAATCCCATGCGGTTCTTCAAATATCATGCACATTTTATCAAGTGGTAACACTGATAATTACCACATGCATTTATTAATTTCATTAAAAAAGTTGCGCTACTTTCATTTTTTGAATACCATTGTTTTAAAAGATTCTATCATTCATATGAAGCTAAAATGGAAACAATTTTCAAGTTGGGTTGAATCTAGATTTTAATCCCATGCGGTTCTTCAAATATCATGCACATTTTATTGATTGGTAACACTGATAATTCAGGTGTATTTTTCTAATGCAGAAATGTGACACTAAATTATAGTAATGCACGCAAAAATCATATCGAAATAAATGCGATAGTTACTGAAAGTTCAACGTAACACTGATTTTATTGCGAAGTGTCAATAAAATCAGTGTTACCAGTTTGAAGGCCTTAACCATCTGAAATAAATTGCTCGTGAAAAGGAAATTAGCGTCTTGGTTCCCTCGAATTATGATTTCACAGCAATATGAAGCATATGGTCATTGTCATGGTTTAAAGGTTGTTCAGTACTATCACATGGTCAGATTTCAAGTTCGTCGAAACGGTTAATGGCACGTCAAGTACTGAAGCAGTACCAATTTTTTTGTTCCTGATTCAAGGTCCGGTTTGGCGTGTTTTTTTCGATCCCGTTTTCCATCCTCCAATTTTTTTTTTTTCATGATGAAAAGGATAATTAAGACCTTTTAAAACCCGCTTTTGAATCGAGTGCATTTCCAGTTCGATAAAACAGATTGCCCCTCGTTGCGTTGTCATTGGACGAATAAATTTTGTGTTTGCATTCATTTCAAATTGGATTGAGAAGTGAAGATTGTTCAGATATATGAAGCCCCCGTGTGCGTCATCGCAGAGAAGGCTTTTCAAGGATTTTCCTCGGGGTTGAATCTGATTTGCGTTGTGCTGAAATTTATGCAGGTAATCGAGACGATCCCGCTGAAATTATTTGCCAAAGTGGAAAAGGACGGGAAGCCTGTGTTTGATGCCCGGGTTTGGGCGACAGTCACGATCAAGAGGCAACAAGAGGAGGATTTCAGTGCGACCAGAGCCATGCTTGATGATGGACGCGGAGGTGAGTGATTGATTTTTTGATTCCAATATTATGTTCACGAATTTTCATCTCATCTATACGATGTATTCATCTTGTGATGTGAAAATGCATGGGAATATTTATATCTAATTTATAAATTATTTTTCTGTTGTATAATCTTGCTACTATACAACAAATATGTTTAAAAGAAATGATTGTTCAGAAGGACTTATTTTTTCAAAATACCTTTTGTTTAGCCAAATTGTCACTTGAGTCTAAGGAAGATTGGTGCCCTTTTGTTATAAAAAAAATTCTAAGACCCTTATTACTTTTTTAATGATATTTTACTGTATATGACATGGTATTCCGATTCTATTGCCTTGGAAATGCATAGTAAATGAGCTCATCAAAAGTGGGGAAGTTAGTGTACAGTACAATCAAGAATGACTACAAGGTTTTACTCACTGTACTTGAAAATAATTATTGTGAAAGACACCTGTTCAACATAAGTGTTACATTTCATGGAGGACAATCATGTCATGAAATGTACAGGAATTGAAAGATTCTCGTTTTACAACTTTCCCATTTCAGGTGAAAGGTTATTTTATTCAAGTTTATTATATACAGAAATTTTCATATTGACAGATGAGAGTTTTTCAGTGATGTTGAAGGAATGATGTCCTTATCTCTTGATTTTTTTAATTATTGAGTTAGTGGCGCTAATTTTCTGTAAACTATAAAATATCACTTGATGGGCAGCTGGTCAAGCATATTATGCCTCAGATCATGAAAGATGGAATCTGAGAGTTCTTATACAGTATTTGAATTTCCAACAGCCTAATTTCCACAATTTTATGCAAATGGAGCCGCTTAAAAAAACTCAAATTATAACTGGATAGCTGCTGGTCTGTTTATGAATGTGCATTAGCTTCTGAAAGATGAGAGCGTCTCGTTGCTTCCAGATATGTTGTCTCAATTTGGGAGTTTTCCAAATATTTGAGTAGGTGTCGCTACCTTAAAGTGAGTTTCCCCATGTCAGCTGAAAGGTTTCTCATCTTTCTGATATATTATTTTCCTCATCCCATGCATTTTTTTATGCAGTATAGAAGAAAATTGCATTTCGGCAGTTGATTGAAAAAAATGCATATTAAGCGTCTGGATGGTATTATAATTTTGGTCTTCATCAAATTTCTTTTAGATCCGGATATTCAGCGAGGCGATGGCGTGTACACCACATACTTCACCAACTTCGTGACCGCCACCAGTGTTTCCGAGTACCGGTTTGTGTTTGCGTGCGACGACAATGGCGGACACGCCCGAGTACCCAGCGACGATCAACACAAGTCCTCTTACGAGTACGGCTTTGAGTACTTCAAGCAGCATCCAGAAGAAGAGGCGGCAGCGGGGCGCCAAGGCAGTGACGATGAGAAAACAGCTGGAGGCGTCCCTGTGACAACGGCGACACCCGTGCCTTCGGCGCCCATGAGTGACGAACACGCGAGGAAAGAGCGACAAGTTGCTGCCAGGTCATTGCCTATTGATGATGATCGGAGGAATGAGGATTATTGGGATGCTAATGCTGCTCCGAGACCGCTTGGAAGCACCTCTGGCAGTCAGAGTAAGTTTCAACATTTCATTATGTTTAATTTAAGAAGTGTGGATATTTAATTCTCTTTTGTTTTGGTAAAAAAAATTTAAAACTTTACCTTGTCTTAGTTTATTTTTCAGTTGATTATACTTTAAACATTCTCTCAAGTTATCATTTTTTATAACTTCAGCCTTTTGCTGATGATGAGCAACGTTTCTTGAGGCCCATGCATGAAAGATTCCTTCCAGATCCTTGAGTTTTCAAATTTTCAGAGCACAAGAATTTTTAAGAAATTAAGTTTTTAATTCAGGGAACTTTTTTATCTCAGTTGAAATCCAATGTTGATGAATCATGATCTGCAGCAGCAAAGGAAAAAGGGAGCTTATCACCTCAAGATATGATGTCCCTGATCTTATGGTTTGTTTCTTGGAGACACAGATGTCGCCCGTTTTGTTTCATAAAATTTCAATTGAAATGATGCTGTTCAGTTGGTGTAGTTCTTGAAGTGAAATAACCTTAAAGGAATTGTGGCTTTCCTCTCTGAGATATGTTGTCCACTGTCCCATGATTTTTAATTTTTTAACGTAGGTGTTGCCACTTTTTTGCATTTTCGCCTTGGGTTATTAATGGCCATTGGGTAATCATGTAACCAAGTTTCCGGAAATTTTTAAAATGTGATTTTATTATTCTCGCTTTATTTTATTTTTCTAATTTCAATTCCTCATTTCCTTTGTTCATGTGAAACAGAAACTGGAGTTTCAGCCTGTTGTGGAAGCGAGCCGGTGGACGTTGTGTTGGAACCCAGTGGTCCTTTCTCATCATTTTCCTCTGGTGGACTAGAAACCATCATTTTCAACGTTCCAGCGACTTCGGGATCTCTCATATTTCCGCCATCTCGAGTAATGGATTTGAAAGTCGACGTTTTTGATGTTTCCGGAGTCTTCCGGCTGACCTGGTCAGCACCTGGAGACGAGTATACTGTTGGAACCGGTGAGTTTGATCTTTCAAAATGAAAATTTACTCGTCTTGTAATTATTTTTCGCTCTCAAAATTTTTTTCAAGTGACCCTTTTGCTTTGTCTTGGGAAATATTTTAACAAATTAGTATTTTTATTTGCTCGCCCCTTTCGTGAAGCTGATTCCTTTCCTATGCGTTCTTCTTCTGGTTTCTCCTTTTTCATTACGACAAAGTAACATATTATACGGAACTCCCGCCTTTTTCTCCAGCAACGATAAAAAAAAATAAATAAATAATTTATCTACTTAATTGATTTTTGTACAGTTGCGGACTTTTTCCTGTATAGAATGCCTCAATACATTCGGATCATTTAAATTCTTCCGCAAATTAGATTTGTATTCGAAGATATTTTGTCGTTCAGGGGTTTTTCACATAAAGACGCGTTTCCTATCCCAATATTGTTAGAATTCTTCTCATATGCAGATAATCGGTGTTCTCTGCGTAAACCCTTTCTTTTTCTGCGGTATTTACAAAGTTTAAAAATGTGGTTCTAAATTTAATTTTTGTTCAATATTTCAATGTCATTAATTTTTTGCGTGCAGTGAGTCAGTACGTGATCGCCTACGGCGAAGACTGGGACTCAGTGGCGTACTACCAAGATGGCGTCAAGACCTTCGTCGCCCCCATGGAACCCCATTCTTACGGCTCCGCAGAGACCCTGGACCTGAACGCCACGGACTTGGGGCTCCACGCTGGCACCGTCTACTACTTCTCTGTCCGCGGATGCGACCAGGCCTCCAAGTGTGGTTCCCCATCGAACGTGGTCCTCGCGTCAGCATCCCCGACAGCTGGGCCGGAATTCGCCAACGCGGCATCTGCCCCGGGTTTCGCCGGGTTGCCAGGAAACAAACTCGCGGGACTCTCCACCGGGGAAACGTTCGGGATCGTTTTTGGCTGCTTCGGCTTCGTCCTGCTCATGATCGCGGCGTGCGTCTTCTACATGGTTTTCGTGCGACGAAGGAAGTCGTCTTCGGACAAGGCGGCGATGGCGAGGAAGACTGGTGGTAGTGGCGGAAGCAGCGGAGGCGGTAGTAACGGTGGCATGACCGGAAGTGGCGGCGGAGTGGCGAATAATGCCGTACGACATTCTACACCGACGCCGTACGTGAGTGAAGAAGAAGGGAACAAAATGACAGGCAACAACGGCGATATCTCGACGATATCCAATGGACAAGTCGGGTCTCCGAGTTACGTACCTGCCAGTCAGTTGTTGGGAGCGCATGAGAAGCAAATGCAGACGAATGGGGATGTGTACGGCACTTACCAAGAGACCACTGTTTATGCCAAGGAGACTGAGGAGGCGTATATTCCTGACTACTCTCAGGTTAGTTTTTTCAATCGATCATCTATATTGGCGAATCTCATTCAAGTTGCTCTTCGATTAAAAGAAACATTAGTTAGGAAAACAAGCATTTTTGTGTGAGAAAGAACGAAGAGGGCATTCAACTGCATATGAATTGCAAGAAAAGCTACACATTCAAAGTCATAAGACATCCAGGAGATTGAATTTGCACAGGTTTGAGCTAGGGAGAAAGCCTTCGAGTTTGGGACGAGGTTTTCCATGCAATAAAACAATTCGGCGAGGAACTTTGAAAAAGTTTACTTTGGGAGGTTTTCAGTTATCAAAGGTTCAACTGTATTTGGTGGCACGTCAAGTTACACGGGCTTTGAATGATCGAAAATTCAATTTTTGAAAATTGCAGGGTTACGATGTGGGAAGTTACTATTACGCCGAGGGCTACGACGCCTACGGGATGCCAGTCGCCGGGTACACGGGTTACACTCAACAAGCCTACGTGCAACAAGGAAGCGGTCGTTCCAGCCGCCACTCGGATTCCACCACCAACTCGATCCCGTCGCAACGCTACGACACCCAACAGGCATTCGAACACTACGCCGGAGCCTACGACGGGCCGGGAGCAGAACAACTTTATGCTCGCCCGAACAAGATGGGGCCGAATACGTCATACGATCAATTGCAAATGGCGGGCTCCCGGCACAGTAACGTGTCGCACCAAACCCCGCCACAGTCCGGCACTGCGCCCAGAATTAGGAATATTACCCAGGTTTAGATGTGTACCCGTAAGTAAGGGTGTTGCTTTTTTCCGGTTTGATTTGATTGTTTGTGTGAGGGGGAAGTTTTTTTTTATTTCGAATCAAAAGATTATCTCCCGCGCGGAGGGTGAGAATTTGGTCAGAGGTGGTTTTTGTTGTTTTTTGGTTCCTTGATGAGAGGGATTGTTGTGTTCACATGAGTGTTTCTGCTGGCACATCAGATGCATATATGTACCCTGTATGAGAGTGGAGAAATCTTCCCTCCTGCTCCTTTCAACATGGATGTGACACCATTTTATAATTTTTAAATATTTTCCTTTTTACCGGCTTGTTTTCATTTGAATTGCGTTTTATATGAATTGGATTCTATGTGCCCCATGTTCGCAGCTGTAAAACTGCAGATAGCAGCAGTTTTAAAGATATTTTGAAATTTTCAATAGAACTTGGACGATCAGCCTCTCAATTACTGTATACCCAAGTTTCAAAATGTTTCAATGTAAGACTGTATCCTAAGGATAAGTTACATTTATTTGGGCTGCAGCATTCATTTTTTTTGTTTTATGCAATTATGCTTGAGGATTTTATTTTTTCATGTGAAGAATTCATCTGGAATAATACATTCGTACAGTTCAACCTCCCAGAGTTAAACCCCCTAAATTTAGATTCCTAGTGAATCCCTGACCAGAGAATTTCAACTATATGCGATGGAGAAACAAATTTAAAGGAGTGAATTTCATTTAATTTTGAGGCATTGATTGCCGTTGAATAGGATTTTTGTGTCTTTCATTTCTCAGTGTTTCTTATATTTCTTGATCAATTTCACTCTGAAAAAGCTATCCCCATATTTCCTGAAACTTTTCCTTCATATGAATGCAATGAAGAGAGATTGTGACCTGATCTCAAGTGGATGCAAGGAAGTGAAGTTGGGTTTTTCGAGCGGCAATTTTTACTTAACTTGCTGCTTGGGCATTCGTTGGCCAATATTGAAGAAATTTTCTTTCATTTTATTTTGAACCAATTTTTTGGTGGGATGGGGTGTGAGGGGGAAAAGGGGGGTTTCGAGTTTTGAAATCAATTTGAGATTTCGCTGCATCTGATGTGATATTTTGGATCGTTTATTTGTTTGATTTTCGTGTTTTTTTTTTTCGAGGGACTTGTCGTTGACACGCTGGGTGTTGAATATGTGTATGGTTGAGTAGATTGATGAATGAATTGTTCTTCTTTTTTTATGATAGGAGTGCTTGAGAATTTAATTTATTTTGCCTATTCTTTCGTCGTCAGCTGTTCTGAAACCGATTTTTTGCTCGTTTTATTGACTAGTCACGAAAGATATTACCAGCTGGAAAGATGGGTAAATCTTTGTGTGTGCAGAGAGACGATATTGATGTGTGCAGGAAAAAAGGTGTTGGAATGGTTTTTTTTTTGCTTGGACTTTCAGCTCCCGACTTTTGGGCGTAATGTGACAATTTTTTTTTGTTTGTTTTTTAATGTCGCTCGGATGTCGGTCAGGTTTTGAATCGCTTGATTTTGACGTGTACATATTTTATACTTGTGGATGAGATCCTTCCCCAGGCTTAAAAAAAATATTGTGTCGGAGTCAAATAAAAAATGTTTTCACAATTCATGTGCAGTGTATTTTTAATTTCTGTTCACTGGTTTTTAAGCATATTTTTGGAAATGAATTACATCTTCGAGAAAACGGAGATTTAGAATTTACAAAAACTTGAACAGCATCCCGTTAGGGTTACCTCCCTTATCCAGATTCAGCAGCATGTTGCTGGCATCATGCTTGATTCCACTATATTGGGCCAATAACAACCTCTTGAAATCAAGTACTGATCAATAAGATTCAAATTTTGAAACAATGACTTAATCTCTAAAATGTTCTTACGTCAATAATACAGCTCTGCTCACAGGAGTATGTTGGGTAAAAACAAGTTCAATTTATAGTTATTTCTTTTGGTCATCTGCATCAGGCAGTGTTTCTGCCTACTGCAGAACTTGCTTATCTTCATGTAGGAGTCGCCCCCTTTCACATGGAAAGTCTATTGTCAGATCCTGTCCTGGAGTTCCTCAGGGGCATTCGTCATTAATGCGACCAAAACATTGTTTTTCTAATTTTACTCGAATTGCAGGTGTATAGGTTAGTTTAGTGCGTAGCACTGACACAGTGCAGTATTGCGCAATGCAGTACTGTAGTACTTCATTGGACCTTTATACGCCAGTGCGGTACCCTCGAGACGATGACTTTTAGCTCTTTGATGTTGCTCAAAAGGATCTCTACGTGATATTTTCCGGCATGTCTGCGTTCCATACGTGATTATTCCGGGGTTTCGCAACGCGAGTTACGTCCGCCGTTGAGTTCGACGTGAGGATCGGACTAGGTGGTTTTGTTTGTCAGATAGTGCGCCTGATGCATGGATGTCTTTCATTTCCTCATTATTTTTTTCATTTCGAAATGATCAAGGTGTGATCTTTTACGAATGACCCATATGGTTTCTGAGGCCGTTTGAACGTGGAGGCATCTCTCGTCATTCCGTTCTCATTGTTATAATCGAGTGGGGAAACTGCGATATATGTGTTTCCCATGCAGTGGTTCTTGAGCTTTTGAAGTTAAACTCGCTCAGTGTGATCATTAGTGTCGTGTGAACATTTTTAAACTCGTAAGATCTCAGTGAACCTTCAACGGTTTTATGAAATTTCTTTCGAACTGCCTCTGTGAAGTTCTGCAATTCTTTGTGACCTGACGCTTACTTATCCATTCTTCTGTTCGAATGCTAGATACGCTTGTATGATCGTGAATCATGGCGCGTAATTATCAACGTCCGGAGAATGCTCTTCGAAGAGCCGAAGGTATGTCTAGAGTGTATTTCGAATATGTACGATTGATTTGACTCGTTTTGTTCGCAGAGTTTCTCGATGTCGACAAGCCAAGCCGGGCTCTGGATGCTCTATACGATTTCATCAAGAGCAAGCGTTTGCGCGCATCCAACTTGAGCGAGAAGGTGTTAGAACCCATCATGCTGAAGTATTTGACGCTATGCGTCGACTTGAAGCGTTCGCATATTGCAAAAGAAGGTCTATATCAATACCGAAACATATGTCAATCCGTCAATGTTGCATCGTTGGAGAAAGTTGTTCGGGAATACCTGTCCATGGCGGAGAAGAAAACCGAAACTGCACGGGAAGCGAGTCATCAAGCCGTGATCGACATCGACGATTTGGATAACGTAATTTCTCCAGAGAGCCTGTTGCTCAGGTCCGTTTCGACACATTAAACCGAGAACACGGTTGCGCTGAAAGTTTGGAACAGTTTTTGATGCCTTTATTTTTTTTACAGTGCTGTTAGCGGGGAAGATGTGCAAGATCGAACGGACCGCGCGATCTTGACACCATGGGTACGTTTCCTTTGGGAATCTTACCGACAGTGCTTGGAACTTCTACGCATAAATCCTCGTCTGGAGCGTCTTTACCATGATATTGCTCAAATGGCGTTCAAGTTCTGTTTGAAGTACGGTCGTAAGACCGAGTTTCGCAAGCTTTGCGACTCTCTGCGCACCCACATGGCGACAATCGTTAAACAACAAGCTGCCGGAATCGCTACTATTCATCTCACCAACGCGGAAACGCTGAGCATGAACTCTGAAACGAGGTAGATTCGATTTCACGATCGCCGTAGTTTCTTGTGATGAATAGATTCTGAAGGGTTTCGAATATCCTTAGTTTAGCTGCCTGATGTTTCCTCACTCATTTGTTTTCGGAGCACGTGAAATCTTTAAAGGCCTCACGGGCTTCGACAACTAAGCTATTTTTCTTGGCAAATTTTCAAAGGAAAATAATGTATAAATATAGGCACGTAATCGCTGATCAATTCCAGTTTTTCTAGTGAGAGGGTGAAGTTTCCTTTCGAAGCTTTCCCTGCAAGTTTCCTGTATTTGTTGGGCCATATTTTATGTACAAATGTTGCATTTCGTCAGATTTGTTGTTTCATTTGTTTTGATCTTGAGTTTTATGTACTGTAATTCTAGACAGATTGTGTTCGTAGGATTTATGATGCATGTTTTCTTCAAGATTTCTTATTTACTCGAGGGATACGCGCAAGAGGGTTTTTCAGACAAAAATTCTAATGAATTGTATTTCTGAGCAAGACGCGCACCCCGTTTCTAGTGACTAGAAGAAGCAATTTCTGAATTAAACTTATACATGAGATGAACCTGTATTCAATCAATTCGCATTTTTTCTTCGTGTTAGTTTTTCTGTTAGTCTAATGCGCACCTAAACTTTTAGAATTTTTTTTTTTCAAATTATACATGCCTATAACGCGCACCTGTTTTTTTTCCATTTGTGGGAAAAAAGTACCCCTTTTTACTTGATTAAGTACGGTAGTTGTTCATATGGTAGAATTTTTAAATTGTACGAATTTATGGTTCGAAGCATAGTATTAAAAACTGAAGTGTAAGGGCGGCTTTACCGATCAATTTTATATGATTTTTTGTGTCTGAGCAGTTGATGAAGAAATTTTGATGACTGTTTTCCGAACTTTCAATTATTTGTGTTTTTATTGAAATCAGGTTAGCTCAACTGGATGCTGCGATCCAAATGGAATTGTGGCAAGAAGCGTACAAAGCAATTGAAGACATCAATGGGCTTATGACTTTGAGCAAGCGTATGCCACAGCCCAGGATGATGGCAAACTATTATCAAAAGTTGTCATTGATCTTCTGGAAAGGCGGGAATTTGTTGTTCCACGCTGCGACTTTGTTCCGATTGTTCCACTTGTCCCGGGAGCTGAAAAAGAACATTTCTCCGACGGAACTTTCGAAAATGGCTGGTCAAGTTGTCATGGCCACCCTAGGTGTCCCTCTTCCGTCGTTGCATCCGGAATTTGACCGTTTCATCGAATCTGAGAAGAATTCCGTCGAGAAGATCCAGCGTTTGGCCGCCTTGCTCAACATGCCTTCCCCTCCGACTCGTCAGGGTTTGGTTCGAGACCTGGTTCGACTGCAAGTGTTGCCTGTGGCACCTGGTCCATTGCAAAGGCTCTATTCCATTTTGGAGGCGGATTTTAATCCCCTGACGATGTGTCGGGATGTGCAGAAAATTTTGCTGGGAATGTCCGAGTCGGAAGACTACAAGCATCTTGGACAGTATTCTAATGCTGTGGAGGACATGGCGTTGGTTCGTCTTGTCAAACAAGTAGCTCAGGTCAGTATTACAAATTATCCCCTTGTTTTGTGTCAGAGTTTCAGAGAATATTCTGCTGTTCTTGACCATTGTTCCCCAACCTTTGTGGGCCCGCATACATTTTTTTGAGAAATTTGTTGGTCCGTGAAGAATTTTATGCCAATTTGCTGGTCTGCGGGTCCAAAACAGTTGGGGAGCACTGTTGTAGACGATTTCTCGCGTTTATTTGTTTCTTATCTTTTGTATAGGTCTATCAGACAGTTGAATTCGACCGCTTGCTGTCCTTGTCAGCGTTCGCAACACCTTTCCGTTTGCAACGCGTGATCGTCGACCTGGTTCGCCACAACGACATGCAAGTCCGCATCGACCACAAGGATAAATGCATTCACTTCGGCGCCGGAATGACGGAGCGTGCGGAAAGTGAAATGAGAGAAGGCGGCGTTGTGTTGCAGCCTATGCCGTCAGATCAAATCCGCTTCCAACTCATTGAAATGGCCAAAGCTTTGGAAGAAGCCTATGAAATGATTGAGCCTGAAGCCATTAAGCTTGAACGACTCGAACTCAAGAGGGCTATCCACAAAACCTACCATAATTTCAAGGTGGAGGAGCATCGTAGGACGTTGAGCCGTCAGCAGATTATTGAAGACCGCAAGGAAATGTTGGAGACTCTAACTCAGCAAAGGGTGGAAGAGGAACGACGTGCGATGGAGGAACAGTTGGAGAGACACAAGCGAGCAGAAGAAGAAAGGCTCATGCGAGAGATGAAGGAAAGAGAACAGAGGAGAATGAAAACTGAGATGGAGCAGATCAAGGAAAGGCAGAGGGAAGAACGAGTGAAGCAGTTGACGCAAACTGCGGTTGGCGCCAAAGTTTTGGCTGGGATGAATGAGAAGGAACTGGAGTCCATCGATACCGACATGCTGATGCAGAAACAGGTTTGCTTTTTGTTAAATGATGATTTATTGACCAATTTTAGAGATACGGAAAAATCGAGACAGACAATTTGAGACTGGACACATCGAGACAGAAAATTTGAGATTGGGACAATTTGAGACAGTCACAAAGTAACTCTGCACACAAAAGTTTTTCTTTCTTTCACTCGTAAGTCTCTGGTTTTCCCAAGATTCTTTGTGAATCTTGGGGGAATTTTATATTTTGAAAATTTAAATGTTTGAAGTATGCTTTGTTAGAAATATTCTATCATACAACTTGTGTGCTATAGATTTTTCCATACAAGGTTTTATGAGCTGTATCACAATTTGTGTATTTTTTCGTGACCACAAGATATTTTGTGCGGTTTTGCTCTGCCAATATTTAGAAAAATGATTGAGGATGTTCTAGTGGTTTTTTTTATGTATATTACAATGGATCAAGAGAGGAATGAAAGCAAGTGAATGCTTCTGTCTCAAAATTCTCTTGCCAAATGTACCTGTCTCAGCACTAATTTTGATGTCGAATAACAGTTTCATTGCGCTTACATTTTATGTTTTACCCAGAATGTAGACAGGTCTGCTGCGCTTCCAATTTTTTGGAGCGCAGTGCATAGTTGATAATTGAAAGAAAATTTATTTTGAGTCAACGTAATACTACAGGTGGAAGAGCTTGAGAAAGAGCGCCTGGAGCAGCAGTCAAGAATGAAAGCGCAAATGAAGAAGTTCGACCATTTGGAACGTGCGAAACGTCTCGAGGAAATCCCCGTTTTGCAAGCCTCCTATGCTCAGCGCAAAGAAGAAGACAAGCTTTTCTGGGAAAAGGAAGAACTGCAGATGATCGAGATCGCCAAGAAGGAACGCGAGCACGCGATTGAAACTCAAACGCGATTGTTCAAGATGCGCGACGACTATGACGAGTTTATGGACATTTTGTGTTCGCAACGCGATGAAGATCATGCTGCCAAATTGGCCGAGTTCAACGCCGAACTTGACAAGGAGCGGAAAAAGCGTTTGGCGGAACGAAAGGCGCAGCGGAAGGAGAAGCGACGCCTGGAGCACGAGGCGGAAGTGAAGCGGAAGGCGGAAGAGGAGGACCGACGGAAGAAGGAGGAAGAACGTGAGCGAAGAGAGGCGGAACGGGAGAAATTGGATGAGATTTCGAGGAAGCAACGGCAGAGGGAAGCTGAGGCGGAGGAGAAGCAACAGCGGGCCCTGAAAATGGCGCCGTCTGAGCGAAGGGATGAACGTAGGGATGACAAATTTTCCACCAGTTGGGGGCCGAGCAAAGAATCCAGGGGTGACAAGGAATCGCAACCCTGGCGCTCATCTGCTGCATGTATGTTGCTTGAATTGAAATTATCTTTCTTATTCATGGTAATCTTTTGTAACGCGTAATTTTTCCACCGTGACGGATTTTTTAGAAGAATTTTGTGAATCAATTAGGAATTGTTGGAAGAGGCAAACGAGTGCTGCTGATCTGTAATTCAAAGTGCCCTAAGCCGCCGACCATCACGCAATCTACCTTTTTTTATGTCGAGACAATTTTTTGAATGCAAATTTATGACTCACGTTTGTATTCGGCAAAATTTCATGAAAACTCGAATCTTACTTTCGATACCAGCCTAATCTCGTCAAACATGTGAGATAAAAATATTCTTTTTACGACTACCTGCAAATTGAAGCTTCGTGAGAATTAATGCTAGCGAATTTGAAACAATTTGTTTCAAATTGTTCGAAGGTTTTCTTGTTCAGAATTAAAGTATTTATTTACTTTTGGATTCAAGGCGCATCTTGATTCGTATTTATCTCTTTTAGAAGCCTTTCATTTGAGTGAATGCGATAAATTATGCTTCGTCATGAAGTTCATCGAAGCTGTTAACAGATTGAGAGGACATGAAATTCTCCGTGTTTTCAGTGAGGAACCACTGTATCAATGTGTTCCTGATTTATCGTCGTATTCATTATTGAATTTATTTTGAAATTATACTTATTTTCCAGCTGGTGGTGCATTCTCAAGCCGTGGAAGGGATGTTTTTGCCAAGAGAGATGAAGGTCCTCCGAGGCGCGAGGAACGTGAAGAATCGAGACCGGAGAGTTCCGGGAAATATATTCCACCTGTCAGGTTTGTGCAATATTTCAAGATTTTTGCGATCCATAAGAACACTTTCCTCCATGAAAATCAACGATGACTTCGGGTACTTTCTCAACGTCGTTTTATTTGATGCACGGTTAAACAGAGCTTTGCTAAAGGTGTTTAATAATTTCTTGGCACACTTCGTATGTCGAACCTTCAGTATTCAAAACAAAGTTCTTGAATTATTGACGAAGTGCGAGTTGTAAATACAGAACAGTAATTGAAATCTCGTTTTGCAGGCGGACGACGGAAGAACGACGTGGAGACGACAGGGACTCACGAGGGCCGCCGAGCCGCGACTTGGGCCGTGGGCCGCCTCGCGATTTTGGAGGACCTTCTCGAGACAAGGAGAGGTCAGGTCCTGGACCCGAAGGCTCGTGGCGCCGTGGCGGCGACGGAGGATTGGGACGTGACAGAGACCGTGATGGCGGTGGAATAGGTCGTGACAGAGACCGTGATCGTGATGGCGGCGGAATGGGACGTGACCGCGATGGCGGCGGAATGGGTCGTGACCGCGATAGCGGAATGGGTCGGGACAGAGACAGGGACCGTGACGGCGGCGGCGGCGGAATGGGAAGGGATAGAGATCGTGATCGCGATGGCGGCGGAATGGGACGAGACCGTGACGGCGGCGGTCGTAGACCTGGTCCCTGGCAACGTGATGGTCCCAGAGACGGCCCTAGAGATTTCCGTGACGGCGATGACCGTCGTGGAAACCGCGATGGTGACGACCGTCGTGGAAACCAGTGAGTTTTTGTCGTACTCTTTCTCTCTGGAAATCTTAGAAGCTATTTATTGTAACGTTTTAGTCGATTTATTCACGTGTTTAAAATTTATTTTTCGAGTTGGATGAGGAGATAATGAAGCGTTATTGATGGAATGTAATGCAAAGAAATGGCTCTTTTGAACCTCAATAGTTTTTATAACTAAGTACTGTTGTACGTTTCACAATACAGTACCTGAATCCCAAGTGAACGCGGTCAAAGGAAAAGTGCGAACTTTTACTCCTCTTCGAAAATCTAATGTGAAGATTTTATAAATGGTCTGGTTTACTCTCTTTTCCAGGGGTGACAGTTGGAGTTCGAGGCGAACTGATGACCGTAAGAGTGAAGATTGGCGTGGACCCCGTTGAAGCCAACTCCTTGAAAAAGAGATTTTATGGCGAAGATGTGCGCTAGAAAGTGTGGACGACATCTAGAAACTTTGGACCGGAATATTACACCCCCTTTGTATAAAGTCCTGCTTCTTACTTCTCTGCTCTGAATTGCATCATTTCGTGTATACTGAAGAGGAAAAGGAGGTGGATTGCGTGAAGAAATATTTCATTTTGTTCCTTCTGTCTGTCTAAGCTCTTTGGTGAGAGGGATGAGTTCTTTCCCGCGTCAAGTACGTGGATTTCATGTGGGGGAAAATAAATCGGTCCGAAAGTTTGCTCGAAGAAGCGAAATTCGTTCGAATCGAGCTCCGAAGAAACGCTACGTAATTTTTTTTATCTGACATGAGCGAAATTGTCTCCCTTTGCGGAATCTTACGAGGGATTTCTCAAAGTATCTCCGAATTTCAGTGTTTGATGAAATTTTTATTTATTTGTTTCGGGAAAACAATTTAAATTGTTAGCACAGTACTTTCAAGTAAGTCTTAAGATGCTTTAAATCACTTCGGATTGCATTTCTAGATCATTTGTATGTTTTGAGAGTTTTTGTCTCCCAAAATCGAGGAAATGGGTTAAATATTCCCTAGTTTTCATCTACCTGCACTTCAAGAGAAATCCTTCGCATTCGTGATGTGTATTGAAATAACATTGACTTTTTGGCTGCTTCTCTCGTCCCTCTTTTCTAATGTTCCCAGGACAAAGTGATGGAGTCTTCGAGTCTGGAAGGCCTCGTCGCGTTGATCGGATCTGAAATCGGAGTTATAAAGCGCGTCTCGTTTAAATCCGACGAAAATGGAAAATTGAATGCAGTATGTGAAAATTTGAACAAACCTTCGCCCAGCGACAGGGTCCACCACGAAGTTGTTTCAATTTCGGACACAGATTCGGATTCTTATGCCATTGGCAGAAAGAATGGGTCCGTCATCACTTACGGCGTAAAACCATCTGTTCTTCTCCATGATGATGATGATGATGCCAGGTTAGTGAAGTGTCGTGGCTTTCAGTCATTCTGCAGAAACGAAAATTTACAGAAATTTAGCATGATAAGTTTTTTGGAACCTCGAATTATTTTTTTATCAACAGGGCATTCAAAGACGTTGAGAAGTCCGCGACTCTAATTGGCGCCACGTCATTCAACAACCGGATTTTTGGTGCGATGTCGACGGGAAAAGTGTACGAATTAAACGAACCCACAGAACCTATGTTCGAAATAGTGAAAGATTCCCGATTGAAATGCGAGTTGCGCTGTTTACGTCTGGACAAGAAAACTGGTCGGGTCGCCCTCGCGGGTCGCAAGATCGAGGCGCAAATTTGGGACCTTGGGTCACCCGAAAAACCCGTGTTTGTGGGCAAGAAGATCGGCGTGAAGACATTATTGGACGTGCCAGTGTCGACGTCGATTAACGATGTCGCCTTTTTCCCGTCCGGACCGGAAATCATCACCGGAAGCGATGACGCGGTTCTGAGACTCTATGACCCGCGGGTTCAGCGGAAAGCCATTCGCGAAATGTCGGTGAATACGAAACAAGTGAATCGTGAAGATGACGAAGCTCCAGTGACGAGGGTTCAAGTGGTTGGCAACTCCATCATGGCGGCGACTTCGACGGGACGACTTCGATTGTTTGACATGCGGAAAAAATTGGAGTTGGTGTCGAATTTCAAGAATATCGTGGGTTCAGTGCGGGATTTTGACGTGTTGAGTGACTGTGGTTCCGGTGTAGTGGCCTCGGTGGGACTCGGACGTTGGCTACATGTGCACGATTTGAAAAGTGCGAATTTGTTGCAGAAAATTTTCTTGAAAACTTGCTTGAACCGTGTTGTGTTGTATCGCGAGGATGTGACGAGTTGATGCAACGAGCGTTGGTTGAACTTCCCGTGCATTCCTTTTTCTATTGTTGCGCAACAAATCATTCAAATTTTCATTTGGTAATTGAAGAGAACGGTAGATGAGTATTTTCCTCCAACAATCACTCGAGGTTCAGGTTTTTTCGCAGAAATCGGCAGTTGAAACTCAGCAGAAACTCGGGAGAAACACGAATTTGTAAGTTTATTTTATGGATCACAGTGAACGAAAAAAATGGAGCGTGAAATGCGGCTTGTGATCCAAGTACTGCACGTGAGCTCCTTTCTGACAGAACTTGAAGTATTCAGTAACGTTTGAGAAGTTGCCTTTACAAACCTGGACTCTGTTTTTTTTTTCAAGTGAGGGAGCAAACAAAAGTTTTCGTCATGATCTGCTCTTTGCTTCTTCTAACGGCTCTCGCAAGTGTTCCATCTCATGGGTTTCCAACAATCAGTGAGTTTCCAGCAATTTGTTAAAGTGGTATAAATTCACAAAGCTATTTTTTCGGAGTTGATGAAGCATTTGAACGTAGTCTCAAAAGAAGATTACATTTCTGGTTGAGAAAGAAGGGAAAACATGCTGGAATAATTTCAGCAGTCATATTTTAATTGAACCTGGATAATTGGAATCTTCCTAAGTAAAAAATATTAGTCAAATTTTGTTCTGGTCCCAAGAATTATCAGCCCTAGTGTCCCTAACTGGAAACCTGTGTTAGTGGAATATATTTTGGTCCCTTCAAATCTGACTTGGACAGGTATCCGACTGTACATGTGCCACAAAACTCTTTTACAGTACTACACGATGCTCTGGGAATTATTCACATTGTTTCTGCCTGTAGGTATTCAATCGCCTTCACTAAAAATGAAAAATTTCAGTTATACCAAACACCACTGAAACCCAAGCGCATGCAGGTACGGACGAACCCGTGATAGTGGGTGGAATCACAGTTACCAAGAGATCAACAAGGCCCTACCTGGCAAGGCTGGAAAATCCAGCTTCCAGAACAGCTTTCTGTACAGGATCATTGATTTCTGCCAAGTGAGTTACAAGTAAGTTTGTAATACAGTAGTAAAATTGAGTTGTACATAGTTGAAAAATTACATTTTTAAGGAATGCAGTGGAAAGAGGGTTCAGACTTGGTTTCTTGTTTCAGGTGAATGTGACATTGAAATGGAAGTGATCAAGCCAGCATTTATTCAATTGATAGAAATTGGAATATGCAATTACTGTACATTATCGATGCATTTTGAAAATTCGTAGAGCAATGAACTAAGCAGGATTACTTACAAGTGAAAAACTAGATAACACCATATATGTATTGCACTGATTGAATACCTTTATATTGTCTCATGGCTGAAGTGTGCCATTGAAACTTCAATTTCAAATAATTAAAAAAAATACTGTATATTGCACTTTCGATAAAGACTGATTTTTAAAATGCCTTTAAAATTCACAGCTTTTTAATTATGCTCCCCGTGATGTGCGTTCTATACTTCTACTAGGATTTTGGAAACTGGAGAATGCTTATTTGTTGAAAATGGACAGGGCCTGGTGAATTTTCAGAACCAGTTGGAAACTGGGTAGAAAACTAGTCACCAATAATGCACGCATTATTTGCTGGGTTGGCATCAATAACTTAATATGCCTTTGTGGTATTCTCAGAGATAATTCATGGGTGAGAGAATTCTCAACTTGAAAAGAAAATTAGGAATATATTGAAACTTGCCTGAAATCTTCGTTGCATTCATCAAAAAGTCTGTCATGTTGGGGCAAGTTGAGCAAAATACTAAATAATGCATTTCTTTTTTTTCAGTTACGTTTTGACTGCAGCTCACTGCACAGCCTCAAGAGTCTCTTCCAAGATTCCAATTGTGGATATTTTCCTTGGGGACATTTCTTCAGCAACTTCGCAAGAACCTGGGGAACAAAAATTCTCAGTCAGTTTGTCTGATGCTATAATACCCCCCGGTTGGATTGATTCGGGGACATTGCAATTGTACGATATGGCTTTCCTGAAACTTCCGCGGGCAGCTGAATTGAATGACCACGTTCAACCTATTCCTGTGTACATTGGGTTCAAGGAAAATAATTTAGAGGGCCTTGAGTTGACCTTTTCTGGATGGGGAATCACTAAGGAAAATCGCACAGGACCAAGTAAATCAAATTTCTGCTTTTTAAGCAATACCTTTGATGCATATTAATCCTGAAGTGTCTTTTATGAACAATTACACGTTGAAAAATGGGGTGCACTTAATTTGAAGAGAATCGAAAAAAAAAGTTACACTTTCTTCAGAAGGCTTCAAACATGTGCAATATTTAATCTCTTTTAATATACTAATCGAATGAAATCTGGAAATTTCCTAGTTTTTAAAGTTATTTCAACAAATTTTCAGCTTCTGACACACTTCAAACGGCTCAAATAGCAGGCAGGTCATGTGAGGATAATGCTTATGGAAAAGCAGGTATGTGTTACGCCGGCTATGGAGCAAATGCAACGACTTGCAGTGTGAGTTTTATTCATGGAAATGTTGAAAATATTATTTTCGATGTCTGATCCAGATTTGACGAGGATATCCGTATTTATGCTCCAGTATCATGCACACGTTTTTCAGGAAATATATAAAAAATAATTAAGTAGATATTTTGCTTGGACACACATTGTGAAGCAAAGTTCGGTGTGCGAAACACTCGAATTGCAGCATTATTTTTCAAGAATGCCAAAAAGCTGTAATATGAAAAATGTTAAGCTTTGAAGAAAATTTATTGGCTTTGTTTGAGATTTCCAACTTTTATGCCATTTAAAATTAAAATTTACATCTATTTTTGATTTGATGTTGAATGTATAGATGATCAACAATTGGGTTGCGCATTTTATGTTGGGGATACATTTTTAGCCAAATTTTCCTTTTATAAATCAATGTGCTCTTTCAATCAAGGGCATGTGTTACTTATGATTTTCAGTCAAGGTATTTATTTGCAACCACAAATTTTCTTTGCTATTAAAGTTTTATATCTTTTCATTCCCCTTGGCTGGAAAAAGATTTCAAAACTTCCCGACAGTTGCAGAATCATGATCTCGAGAAGAAGTTTACATACAAAAAATATATTTTTGATATTTCCAGGGTGACAGTGGGGCACCTGTTGTTCTGGCAATCAATGAAACAGCAATGCAGATTGGGATTCACACTGCTGGTACATGCCTACTGTCAGCAGACCAAGGACCAGGAGCCATAGGCACTTTTGCAAGTTATCCTGATTATTGGGAGTTCCTTTGTTCAAAGGCAAATTGTATGCCGCCTTACACGCGAAATTCTGCAACAAATAATGCCACTAATTCTGGAAAAATATTTTTAAACTCATTCATCAGTTTTCTGATGGGATAATGCATTATTCATCCAAGAAAAAATGCTGCCATGTATGTCTAATGAAATTCTGCCAAAAGCAAAACAGAATAAAAAGTGCCCATGCTCATTAAAATAAAATCTGGTTGCAGCAAAGCCAATAAACCAAAAAAGCTTTGATGTTTTAAAGATATTCAGATAACCTTGTGGATACTTGGCAGGGACCTAAAAATCAAATTTTTCGAAAGAATAGGTTATGAGCTTTTTTGTAGCAGTAAGATTCAATTAATACTCAGATATCCCCTTTTCCTAGTGCCGTCTGCACCCCCCCCCCCTTCCCCAATATATTGGGTGAGCATTAAACTGTACTTGAAAAAAAAATGTTCTTCAAATTTTCCGAAATTCTTGAGTGCATAAAATTATTTTCCGATTGCAGTACTGTTCTCAAGTATTACAGAAGAGAAGCAAATTTAACCATATTGACTTATCGTTTTATTTCCGTGAACATTTCTTATTTCAGCTGTTCTAATTTTTAAATTTTGAAAATTTTCACTTAAAACTAGGGTGTGCATGTGTTTTAGGCAAGAAATGAATTTTTTACCAAATTTCGCAGCTTAAAAACGGAAGTGCATGTCATATGAAATTGCGCATGGTGGTTCAATAGAGATGGCGTTGCTGATTATCAAGTGTGAGCATTAACTTTATATACAAAATTTTCGTAATTGGATATAACAATCTTCTTGTGTATGATGTAGAAAAAAAAATTGATAAGTATGATTGTAACAGAGGAACTGGGCTCTGGAAGACCCCATCTCAATCTTCATTCCTAAGCTTATTTTCATGCAAATTTCGACAACTCTCATGAATTTGACAGTAAATATTTCCTGTTATAAAACTTATTAGTTATACTTCTCAGGAATTGAAATCATGTCCTATGATTGAAACTTTCCATATCACAAAAATAATCTGATACTGCTGTAGTAACCCATTGATGAAACAAAAATTTACAAAAAAGAGAAAACGTTGCCACGAATTTCTCTTGTGCAGCAAGTAGATGGCCTTCAATTTGTAAAGATAGGAGAACAAAAAGGACTCAATTCAATTGGGGTAAAGAAGAATGAAACATTCGTCAATACTGTATAACAAACTTTTTCTCTGGTCCCCAAAAGTTTGTTGTAACAAGATTTTACTGTATTAACGGACTATACTGTAACATGATTATGAAAAATCTACGGAATCAATCTGAAAGACCAAACTTTGATTTTGTAAAATCCAATTCAACAATGGTCCAGGATGATACATTACAGTATATTATTGAATTTTTTATTTATGCAATATTGTACTTCTGATACATGATTTTATGGTTTGAACTGAGATCAAGAAACATGAGAGGACAAATTTTCAAAAGTTTGATGACGGAGTAAACACCTCTATCATTCCTCTTAAAAATTCACTGAAATAAATTTGATTTTATGCTGACAAAATGATTTTTCATGGAAATTGAAAGTAATTTCATGACTTTTCTATTTGGGTATCATGCTTCAAAGAATGAACTCTTGATGAAATAAAATTAATTATATTGAGAGCATAAATTAGATAATTTTATAATAGAATTGGAATCAATTTTAAACCGATTCTGAAATATTTCAAGAAAGGCAAAGAAAGATCAGGACGAACGTGCAAAA